ATTGCCTTTCGCCTTTTTTTTTTTTAAACATTTTTGGCGCCAAAAGGAAAAGGCGCCGCCATTTTGAGGAGGAGGGATCAGGAAGGCGCGAAAGCGAAGCGAGGGAAAGCGGGCAGAGGCGCCTGAGGGGAGACGGGCGTGAGGGAGAGGATGCAAGGTTATTAAGGACGGAATAGCTGCTTGTATAAAGAAAGGCACGAGGGGTGTATTCGCCGGTTGCAAAATTAATTCATGAGGCACCGAATGCTCCATCAGTCCCAGAGGGCGAGATTGCCGAATTAGCTAAAATCAAGCCGAGTAACACTTATGTTCTATACTCCGCAATCAGCCCAAATAGGATTGGTGATGGTGGTCCAGCGGGCGTGGGAACACGACCTGTTTGAGTCCTGGTTTCTTTTGTGGTACGAACTCCTTTCCTAACCTCCATGCAGATCAGCCAAGTGTCACTGAGTGGATTTTGTGGCTTTAGTTGAAAGCGTCCTATTTTGTGGTCATACCGACTTACTTTTAGGGATTGTGGCTGTGGTAGTTTTATTAGAGAGTAATACAACTTTCCTGCACTAAGATTTGTGGTAAAAAGGGAAAACCTTTTCCCCTCATTTTTAATCAATAGTTAAGAGGGCTAAATATGCTAATGAGAAGAAACCACTCATTAAAAGATTCACCCCTCAAGACAAAAACTGATTATTTCAGCAGTTAAAAGATTGAAAAAACTATTCATTACATTCCACAGCCATAATAAAAAGAAATAACCAGGAATTTTAAAATCTATCCTGAAAAGTAACTTCGTAGTATTACACTGGATTTCTAAATTTAAAAAATTAGAATTTAGGGGTACAGAAGATGCTCTTAGATGCATTATGGCTAATCAAGTGTTGTATTAAAGTCACTCTATTTTATCTTCCCTTCCAGCTGTAAGAACCTAATCTGTTGGCCTGCGCTTAGTCTTCCATGCCATCTTAAGATAGACTCTGCACGTTTCATGAAATCAATCTTGTCATATTTTCCCTCTTTCTCCCACTCCCTTGTGCTCTTTAATAACATCTTGCCAGATGAAGAAATGTGGGGATGTCAAAAGCTTGCCCGCATTTTTGCCCATATTTGGTTGGTCCTTATAAAAGTATTGGTTGTGGGTATTGGAATTCCTTCTCAACCAGTGTAGTTTCTGTTCGATTTGCACTAAAAAGTTGGGAAGCTCTGAGTGAAAATACAAATCAAATAATTAAAGACACCATTTAAAACAAAGCATATCAATGAAAACTATCCATGAGAGGTCAAAAAGTCAAGATGGCAGCCACAACTATGCAACTAAAAGCCCCATCCTTTTTTTTTATGTGCATCACAATGCACATAAAAAAGGGGCAGGGCCTTAATCTCATGGTTGTGGCCGCCATCTTGATTTTTTTTACTCCCTCCCTGCAGACATCCCTGCATTGAAGCATATCTTTTTACAGAGATAAGAAACACCACCAACCAGGTTAAAATCTTCAAGCAGGCCATCTTAAAATCCAAAAGTCTGACAGAATACAAAAGCCTCTGATTGCCAGGGAAAGGAAGACAAGAGATGGAACTAGCCAGTTTCACAACCTTGTGGAAGTGGTTCAAGCATCAGGGCAACAGAACATTTTCTGTTTGGTGTAATTCCTGCAGTGAGCAGCTACTGCACTGGGGTTAGTAACACACTAGTAACATGAAGTCTTGTACTATCTCTGCCTCATTTTTTAGTCTTATTGGAGGACCAAATAATTCATATTAAGACATTTTAGCCCTAACTTCTTCAGTTCTGTATCAAAAGTTGTTTTATCTCAAAAAAAACTATAAAGCAGTTACAAAACAAAAAGCTTTGTAAATCTAAAGAAGCACCATTGTTGCAATCGAGTTTATTCTAGTTTTATAATTAAATTATATTTAAATTAGTAATTTATTAGCCTATCAATGGCTGATCTCATTTTACTACAGACGGAATACTGTTCCTCACTAAAGGATGTTCCAAGAGAGATTTGCTGCTGCTCCCCTCCAACCTACCAGATAGTAATGCTTTACCTCTTGTCCTGGAGGGACAGAAAGAGAGACCTACATCCCCAAGATTGAAGTCCCATTCCTATGAAATCATCAGAAGTCACCAGGATCATCCTAATGACCAGAAAAGAAGGGGGAAAAGCCCAGACGAATGAGATGAGCAAACTCAATGAAGTAAGTAGTCAAGTTGATTTTAAAAATGATTTCTTCTGCTATTCTGCTCCTTTTGCAGCAACGTGGTGAAAATCACTATCCATCCAGTTCCATAGCTTTCTCCAAATCAGAGGATCTGAGAGAAATGGAAGGTGTGCTCCTAGTCCCAGAGCTTTTGAGAACAGGCAGGAGGAAACCCTCAATCTGGGGCAGGGAGAACCTAGAAAGATTTGCAGACCCACAACATATATAAGTAAAGATGAAGGTATGTGTTCACATACATACCACACTCCTATAACAGACTATAAAATAATGTTCATGGTTTTGCAGTGAAAAGGCAAGAAAAAATGTTATTGTCTGCTTAGGTTTGCCAGTGTGTCAGTCCATCAAAACTCACAGGACTGGCTATATTAGGACTAACTTACAACTTATCAGCATTTCAGGTTCAGTTTAGCCTATATTATGTAAAAAATTAAATTTCAGAATGAAAACTATTACGACTTGTGAAATTGAACATCTGAGAGAATGCCTGTGTGGTAATTCTAAATTGCTCCAAAAAATGATGCTAGTGCAATTCCAATTGTCAAAATACTGAATCTGGGGTCTTTGTCATAAGAGCAACAACCCTCTGCTGTTCATATACTTTAGTTTCATTTTAAACATAATGTTCAAATTTGAAAATACATTGCTGTATTATTCAAGTATGAGATTCATAATTCAGAACAGTCAACATCCTTGCCCAATCCCATTGCAAAGTCCTGTTTTCCTAAATCCCATAGGGGTGGACTGAAAGCTCATAACTTTTCTAGGTATAGACTAGGTGGGGAAAAAATCATTAGAATATACAGAATAAACAAGGGCATAATTAATGAAGCAGATATAATCCAGAAAATAGTTTGAGACTATTGTCATCTTGCACATAGAGACTCAAGAAATTTCATTTTGAAATACTAATTTTTCCAAAGTCCCATTCTTTAACAAGAAAATTAAGATTGTAACTTAATAGTATCTTCTACAATCTGTTCCTCCTGCAGCCTTCCATTTTTAAGGCCACCACTATGTCGTAAAAACCTAGGTAAAATTTTTTCCTGGGGAACGATACGGGTGGGGGAAGAGAGAGAAACAACTAATACAGTAACAGCCTCCTCCACCAAAGTCGCAGAACTCTATCCCCACACTTCCTCCTAGCTTTGGCTTTTTATACATTACAAAACCACCCCCTCCTTCCGTATATACAGTACAGAATTTAAAGACAATTCAAATTCAGCCAATTGTAGAGTATAAACATAGCAGAAAGTTCCACCCTCTTTTAATTACCAACGATAGTCAATCCCATTTAACCTGTCTAATCAGGCTGACGAGTGCTGCCTTTAGCCCGTCCCATTACTTTCTGATCCGCTTCACTTTTGGCCAATCAGGAGAGCTCTCTCTCCGGCGAAACCAGTTTTTAATTAGTACGCCAAGGACCCTTTCCCGAGTTGTGCTTTCGGCTGCCTGATAACAACGCTTGTTTAAGACGATGCCTGTTTGGCTGCTCGACTGCAGAGAATGCTCCGGAAGTCTTATTTTGTTTCACTTGGTTCATTTCAGTTTTGCTTAATATAGCTTTCAAAACAGTAACGAGGGCTATCCTGATTACTTTTGCTTAAGTTGTTGGCTGTAAAAGTGAAATATTGCATTTTATTTTGTTTGGGTGCTAATTTATAAAAACTAGAAAGTATTTCTTTTATAGTAGATACTGTATGTGCAGAAAGTGGCCTGGTAATCTGTGTTGCCAGAACAGTTGCAAAATGCTATTTGTATTTTTTTTTTTCAAAATGGATTTGAGTATGATCCATGATACTACAAATCAACATTACTGTATCTTAATGTCTCTTTCAATAACCTAATGACTTATTCACATGCTTATAATAAATTAGAAATAATGTTAAGCTCTGAGGCTGTGATATTCCATTTTGTTTAGTAATAAGCTACAATTTTTGATAATAAAGTTAAACACAATTGGTTTGTTCTAAATAACTAGACTCATATCTTTGGAGAACTCAACACTTTTTCCTGAACTAATAACATATTTCATTGAGTTATATCAATTTATTTCCTGGTCAACTTATTTAGAATTAGGTTGTATACTTGCAGACCTATAAACACATATTTAAATACACCTTATTTTACACCATAGGGCTTTGTCCTCAGGAAAGATGCATAGGTTTAGGCTTTACCAAACACAAAGCTTATATTAGAGTTAGTACTATATTTGGAAAAAATATATTGTAATAAAGCAACAGACAAGGGGTTTTATGTAGGTGTTTGGTTTTTTTTAAAGGCTTTGCACTTCCATACATATGTTAAGCCAAATGCTATACAGATGGGCCCATGCATCATTGCTAAACCAAAGTATGATTTGTTTGGTTTAATATACATGAACCCAGTCATTGTTCAGTTAGTAATATTTAAACAAATCATGGTTTGGCACAATGTCTACATACCAATATTTTCTTATCAGGTGCTTCTAAGCTATAGTGGGGTCCAACATGTCTATTTCAGAATGTCCCATTTATTTCAATAGAAATTACTCCCAGGCAAGCACTTGTGATCATATTTTTGAATTTTTGTTATTTAATGTGAAACCTATGGTTATATCCATATATAACATTAAGCCAAAAGCAAACTCTGTATTTAGCCAACTGCTAGTGAGTAGTGTAGTTGGTTCAGGGTTCAGTGTGCTCAGTGAACCCAAAATTAAGTTAATTGAATGAACATAGTTATCCAAAGGTAAATATGCCAAGTGAATACAGCTAATACATTGTGTGTGAAAATTAGGTTGCCAGTAAGCCATACTTAATTAAATCAGTGTGTTCAAATGCAATTGGAGGGATGTGATGGTGGATTAGTTAACTTAGCTATGTCTGGGTTGTAAGATCCAGATAAATTGCTTTTGTCTGTTTAAACTGAGCAGCAAATAAATCGTGTGCATTCTAAATAAAAACGGCTAAAACGTTTAGTAGAACAAAGTGGGTTTGAAGTTACGTTTGGGCCTGCTTTGTAGTTGGAAAGGAGACCACTAGGAAATCCCAAGGCTGGAGACTAAGAAGTCAAAAAGCATCCCTGAAGGTTTGGCAAACCATTTTTTATAGCGCTGCCAAGATGACAGCACAGATGTGTCCATTTAGTCCCCAAGCGTCAAATTTGAATCTTTTTATTGTCACACGTGTAAGATTTATGTACCGTAACACAAATTGGGGGCATTAAGACTCACACAGCACAGGCTTGCGTTTTACTCTGCTTTCCCCATGGTCCATCACATGATTCCATGTGGTCCTAAGTGTATTAATTTATAAGTAGATCCCACAAAGTTCAAAAGGGTTTAATCTTTAGTAAGCATGCCTGGGGCTGATGGGTTAAAACGGGTAATTGTCGCTGCTTCTGTAAAGCATTCTAATTTTAGATGGAGGAAAATTTTTCTAGATCCCTTTTTCAGTCAGTGAGGGTTTTTTCTCCCCAGTTTTTCCAAGAACCCTTTGGAAATTAAGATTTCAACCATCCTTTTCGCCTAAAAATGCCCCCGGTAGTGTCGTCCGCATGTCACGTACAGCCTTCCTCCTGTAAGTGCAAGGTTTACAAATAACATGTTAATCAGGAAGCTCGCTCAGAGTGCCTGTACCTTTAATTCACCCTTTCTTGACAACCTTCGTTGATGTCTTGGTACAATGCTCCCTTTTGAGCGTGCGCGCGTGTGGCTACAGTATTTTGAAAGAGGGAGAGGGGTGGGGCACCACAAATGCAAATTAAGTGGAGTGGGTGGAGGAAGATTAAAAAAAAAAGCTTTCGCTTAAAAATGTAAAAATAAAACTGCCCATTTGTATTTTTACCATTTCCGCCCACCTCTGCTTTTTCTTTCTTTCTTTTTTTTAAATTTTCAGAGGAAACCATCATCCATTGCAATCAGGCACTGAGCTGACCCTCTATGAGTCTGTGCCTGCTAGGGTCCTGCCTCCGGAGCCCGTGCGGGGATGTCTCGGAGACCCCGCGCTGACTGCTGCTCAAACATCACGGTGAGTTTGTTACAATGTAGCAATTTCTCTTTAAATCTCTTAACTCTCTCTACCTGCAACTCAGGGCTGTGACAGGGCGAAAAAAAACTGGGGGGAAAGGGAACCGTGTCCCCCCTCCTTGGGTAGTAGCACTGATCTCTTTCCATTGCTCCCCCAATTCAGTTCTGCCCCCCCAAACAGCCTTCTATTCCTGCGTCTGCAGAGCACGTCTACAGAATACAATGTAGCTTTATAAAATGATACACAATCTTCTAATCGTTGTAGCGGGGGGTGCTGGGAGATTCTTTCCCCACCCCCATCTCTTCCTTCGCATATCTCTACAGGCTTCTAGAATAGATTTTTCTTCTCCAGCAGAAGGGGTGGGGGCTTTGGGGAGCGGAGGAAAAGAGAGAAGGTTATCATTCGCAGGGTTGGATAATTATGTGTAGCTTTTTTGTTTTTCCGGTTGTAAAGGCATCGTCTATTTCATTTTCCCCCACCCCCACGCCATGTCCAAAGTAAAAGCGAAGGATAGCCCCAGCCAATGGGACTTCTCCCATGGTTTCTGAAAGGCTGGATGGGGAGTTGTAAAGCAGAAACATATTTTCTTTGATGTCTTACTTAAAAAGGGAATTCAGATGTTTACAGGACTTACTTCTAAAGGTATTCCCAGATAGTATAAAGTCATTTATTTTGATAATGTAAAAATGCATTCTTGAGCTCAGTAAAACAAGGAAGAACTGCTAGATGAGGTTATCCTCTATTAACCTGGTCTTCTCCATCTCCCTTTATAAATCTCTGCTTAAGATTCTGGCCTTGTTCTGCAAATCACTCCATGTCTATTTTGTGCTGATTTTGGTTGAAGAAAAAGAGCAGTACTACACAATTAAAATAAGTCACTTCAATTTTTTTCAAATTATTTTATTTCCAAATGGAATGTTATCACCCCCTTCTGTATTCCTGCACTTCAATCTCATGGCTTTCTGTGAAATAAAAACACATTTCTTTTAAGGTATTCTTTTAGTTTTGTACATTAATCCTGGCCATTGCCCCCATTTTTTCTGCAATTGTATTTGTTTTTCTGCATGTTTCATACCTGTTTATATATTTGCAATATGTACAGATTCTAATTCTCTGGCCTAGCTTTTTTCATATGCTTAAGTTAGTAGTCCAGTTTGGTTTAATCTCTGTTTGAGGTACACTTGCATACCTCAAAGTTCATAGTAATAAACACTCAATATGAAAGAGGTCATTTTGTGAATGTTTTGCAAGTCCAAGAAAGACACCAATTTTCCTCATCCTTACCAAGAGCATATCAGGGTTTTTTTCCCTTTAATTGACAAACATGTTCAGTGGACATCTCTGGGATAAATTCTAGTATTCTTGGAAGTAGTTATCAAAACCTATGGTAAAGTTTAGTAATAAGTGTTTGGAGATCTTTGAAGGCAGAGATGAGGTTCTTTCTGCTTCTCTGTTTCTTGTCTCAGGGAAGTTCAAAACTGGCTTTTAACAAATATTGTTGCATTTTCCCCAAGCTTTGTTGATTTGGAAGTAGAACTCTATTTGGAATATTTCTTTTTTAAAAAGTCACTACACTAATCTAGAATGGGAAGACATATGGTGTGTTTTCATTGATTGCTAACTCACTGGAAAGGGCTAAAGAGCATATACACATTGCTACTTTATCCCATCATGTGCACATACCTCATTAAGCAGGGACAGAGGCTTAGCTGAAGCCATATGTGTTATGCCAATTTAGAACTATTTTCAATTTGTAGAAATCAGATTTTGAAATTACTATAAGCCTTGGTTTCAAATGCCCATTTCCACAAACAGTGGAAACTGAGCTAGCTGAAAGGTCATTAACCATAATTAGTAGCATCATTTCTTACTGATTAAACAGTGGCAGATATGATTTAGTATGGACCAGCACTGGGATTATTGGTTAGATTATAGTTAAACAGCTATTGCATCGCTAGGTTATTGAGTGTAAGGACACAGCTGTAGCTACTGCTTTGTGTTTGTTTTTCACTCCTTGCAGGCCCATGGGGTGTTCTTTTAGAAAGCAAAAGAGCTAGCAAAAATTTTATTCCATCACCCCAGATACAACAATTCTGATTTTGTTGAGCCACTACTGATTTGTAGTTATTCGCAAAAAAAAAAAAAGTGGGGGTGGGGAGAAGGCCTGCCACCAGAAAATTGCTGAGATGTCAACTAAAGAAGGAGGGGGATTGACAAGCCATTTTTACCTATGGTTTGGGGTGCATTTGTTGACATATGACATATGACTTACTTTAAACACAGATAATGTTCCTTAGTGTGTCATGAAAAGTGATCAATTATTAAGTTCATATATTACACTAAACTATCACTTATTACGCATGATTTGAATAATCCACAACTGTCTGCGTTCACATATTATACAAAGCCATAAACTAAAATTTACAAATCACAGTGTGTGTATTGGTATAGTATGCCAAGCAAAAATCAGACAAACTGCATTAAGATTTAGCATATGATAGATGAATCCAGCCCATCGTGGATTATTCAATAAATAATGGCTTAATAAAACATTGATGAGTTTTATGTGTGATCCAGTCTGAGGTCTGGTTCTTACAACATGTTAAACCACAATCAGTTTGGTTTTGGCTTAGTGTGTGTGAGCCCAGCCAATTATAATTTATTCGTCAAATCATAACAAAATGCTGGCTTAGCAAATTATGTAATCCCACTCATAGGAAGTATCCATTCATAATACTAAGCTATGGTTTAATCAAGAAATCATTAGTTATGCTTATGCAGCAAACTTAGGAACACTACATTATAGTTTTGTGCAAATCGCTATAACCTGATTCACACATAAACCTAAGCCAGCATTTTTAATACACTTGGTTGAACTAGCCATGGTGCTTTGGTTTATACTTAACTTTTTTGAGTCAGTTTACATATCATACTACGCCAAAAACAACAGTGCTAAATGGCTTAGCATTATGTGTGAAGTAGGCCACTGCAATATGGATTCAAATCTATTTCAGTTACATTCATTGTCATTTACTATTATATTTCTAAATATTTACTTAAGTGCTTGGTTAACCAACTTTTTCACATTCCCTGGTTATAAATGCACAAATTATATTACTTAAACTCTGATCTTGCATACATTTTGAAACAGCTCCTTCACAAGTTGCCTAGATATGTAGTAAATATGGTTAAGAGAAAGTTTTTCAGTATCAAAATTCAAATAGTATACAATTCTCTTCGATGCTTTCTAAAGGAGTTATCCAACTCTTGCTATGTTATTGTTAAAACTTTAAATGTAGCAATTCTGGAAAAAAAATGGAACGACTAAGACTTCTTAGCTGCCATAGTTTTTTGTTGATGTTTGTAGAAACATGAAATTTATGTTTTTCATGAGTTGCCTTTGTCTGTTTTATGTGTGTGCCAAATTACCTGTGCCAATTGGTACAGATCCACTATATTTAATCAAGTGGGAGCTAGTGTTTCATATTTTTTAATTATTTCTCACCAAAGTAGTAAATGTATATTTCATACTTGACTGCCAAGAATGTTTAGGGAGAAGTTAAGGTAATTGAAAACATTAAAATTTGGAACTCTTAATATTTTGGTTGGAATCAAGTTATCATAATATGCTTTTAATGTGAAATGCATCTCTATCCTTTTTAATACAAATATGAGAAATAAAAACAGACTTTCTTTTAAAATACGGAAACAAAAACTAGAATACATCCTATTTGCATTTTAGAATGTGTGAGGTGTTTTAAGAAATTAAAGAGTGAACCCCTTTGTTTTCAGAAATAACTGCCCTTCTACCCAGCTTCTCTCTCTTCTCATGACTTTCTAAGATTATGTCCAGAAAAAATCAGGAAAGTTACTCAGTTAACATTTATGTGTGCAGAGAAGACCAATCTTTTATATTACACAATGTTAATGTCACATATTTGAAAACAGTAATGTGCTGAATGAGGGATAACAAACTAAAATTTAATTGAGATAAAACAGATGCTCTTAATTAAGAATCAGATGATTTAGAAATACTGTTGGATTTGCTTCTGAAATATTATGTTGGGACCAGGAGTACCTTCCATGAGTTTGGGTGATATGTCAAATGTGCTTGTTCACAGGAAAGCCATAGTAAGGCGTGCAAGTTATATCCAGAATGGATTACTGTAGTACACTCTATATGAGGCTACCTTTGAGCAGAAACTTCAGGTAGTCCAAAATGCAAGAGAGATGGTCTTGATTGGTGTTTTGGAGTATGTCACATTGATTTGCAAGAATGGCACTGGCTTCCTTGTTGTTTCTGGAAAAGTTTAAAGGGCCCATTATGACATTTAAGGCCTATAATGATTTGCTTTCGGAATAACTGAAGAATCATCTCACCCTGTATGAACCTGTTTGCTTCTTCAGACAGTTATAAGGAACCTATTGGTTGCACTGACTGGGTCTGCTGGGAAGCCACAAGTTCCTCATCCCTGCCTTAAAAACTGTAGGGGAGGCGTTTCAAATTCTGACAGAGTAGTGCCCAGTGGTTCATAGAGTTGTATGTTTTTGTGGCAGTATCTAGATTGTGGAACACCATGCCTCTAGAGGTTCCTTTTACTCCCTCAGAGGGTATTGCATTTGAAGACATTTTGTTCAAACAAGGTTTCAGCATATTAAAGTTATTAAAGTTGAGGCATGTTAACAAAGTGCTTGTACAAAATCTATGTAAGATGTTTTGCCTGTTGCATGTGTCTCCATTTTTACTGTGTTCTTTATTCATATACTTATTAATGATTCTAAACAGCCTTGGGTATTATTTTCTTAAATAAATAAATAAATAAATAAATCCCTTAATCCAGGGGGGAATACCTCACAAGCATTATAAACATGATGTAATCCATTATGAAGCTTCAGTGTGACAAATCACAAATATTCATGGCATTATAGACTGAGGACTACACATTCCTACTTTCCATTCCATGGAGAAGTATTGTTTTGTCTGTACTAATACCATTGCT